AAAACTCCCTGGAAAAGACCCTGATGTTAGGAAAGTGTCAAGGAAAGAGGAGAAGGGGACGACAGAGGATGAGATGGTTGGACAATGTCATCAAAGCTACCAACATGAATCTGACCCAACTCCGGGAGGCAATGGAAGACAGGAGGGCCTGGCGTGCTCTGGTCCATGGGGTCACAAAGAGTCGGACATGACTAAACGACAACTACTACAGTTTAACCACTGCACTAGGAGTTATAGTACCTTTTCCCACCTTTGCCAAAATATATAAGTTTCAACTGATGCAGCACAGTTAGGACTAGGGAGCCTGTGCGCCCCCCCCCCATTGCTGGAAGGCACCTCGCATCAGTCTTAATCCAAAGCTCATACTATAAGTAGTAGTTGTTAAAGCGCCACAGGACTGTGCTTTTGCTGCAACAAACAAGCATCCCTTTAGAAATACAGGGGTGCCTTTTTGTCTTTACCAGGCATGACACCACTGTATAGGCTGGACAAACTGTAATATCTCACAGGGACACAGCTCCCTGATATTTGGATATATTATTCAGGATGACTCTATGCTTAATTTGGTGTCTACCTTTTCCCACCTTTGCCAAAATATATAAGTTTCAACTGATGCAGCACAGTTAGGACTAGGGAGCCTGTGCGCCCCCCCCCCCATATTGCTGGAAGGCACCTCGCATCAGTCTTAATCCAAAGCTCATACTATATGTAGTAGTTGTTAAAGCACCACAGGACTGTGCTTTTGCTGCAACAGACAAGCATCCCTTTAGAAATACAGGGGTGCCTTTTTGTCTTTACCAGGCATGACACCACAGTACTGTATAGGCTGGACAAACAACTGTAATATCTCACAGGGACACAGCTCCCTGATATTTGGATACATTATTCAGGATGGATCTATGCTTAATTTGGTGTGTACATCCTCAGGTCCTTATTAATTTATATATATTTGGGCTCATATTGGTATGGTGACAAGATGTCTGGCAGAGTGCAAAAATAAACAAAGCATTAGACTGCTATCATCAATGTACTCGAGTTGTGGATGATCACTCAGAACAATCTGGTTTTTACATTCCCAGACCTGGTACTCTTTTAACAGAAAGTGTTTAATCCTAATAGATCACTAACTCTAGGAAATTGTAGGGGCTAGGGTTAGGGAGAAGGCCTGTTTGTTTCTTAACTTATTCCTACCACTTATTCTCCCAATTCCAAGACACAAAAAATGGTTACATGTACCATTATTTATAATATACGTATTGGAAATAATGATTGCTTTGTTGGTGAACTGGAAGACAGAATAAAACATTTGTCCACCTCCTGCATCTATGGAGGATTATTGTTTACTAGAATGCATATAAAACAATTTAATATGGACAATGTATAGACGTACCAGGTTTCACAATGTTAGCCATAAATTGCTAGGGCAAAGAAATGACTGAGAGAGACGGTGAAGAGAAAAGTGATTGACACAGTGCAGAAGCCCACCTTATTAATAAATCAATACATTCTTCATACATCTGCCAAAGCAGCTTACAGTCCACAAAAACCTATGCCAAGTAATAAATAGGAATGTGTTTTTTACACCTTCAGAGTAAACAAACTTTCCAAGGAATAAAATCACTGCAGAAAAAGATTCTATTTTTCCAGTTCATTTATATCCTCGCTACCTCTCGCAACGTGCTTTCCCAGCTCAGCCATTCTAGCCTTCAATCTCTACGGTGCGGAGCCGAAGCTCATTGGTCAATGCTCAGCAAAACGGCCTGCCTCCAATAGGCGAAGCAGAAAAGAGGGCTCATTACTATTGGCTAACAGGAGGCAGAAGGCGGGGCCGTTCTTGGTCCTATATAAGCAGCCCCTGAGGGTTGCTCACTTCCTTTTCGTAGCTGCCGCCAACGTTGGTGAGAGGTAGGGTGGTTTATTTCCGTGTGCGTGCACAGCTGGGCCTCGGCGAAAGAGGTCGAAGGAGCAAAAATTTGCCGGTCCGTTTTTAGAAGAAAACATTATGAAGCAGCAGCAGTTCCCCTGCATTCGGCCATTCGTTGGGAAACTACTGCGGTGTCACATGCGCCTGGAAAACGGGGTGTTTGAGCCTCCATTTTCAGTTCCTTTCGTCTTCTGCGCATGTGCCGCCTCTAAAAGCGGAGGCAGCCGCGCGTGCGCAGACGATGCGGGTCGGCGCATGGTTGGTTTTCCTTCGCAGGGTTTTTGCAAGCCTCGTGTAGACTTTCGTTCCGCGTCTTCTAGGTAGTAGGGATTAAGCTAGTATTTATTCCCACTCTCCACGTGCCACCGCCTTTTATTATTCTGTGCAGCTGCGTAGTTAGAAGGGCCAGCTGTTCCGTAAGTTCTTAGGGAGAAGCCCTGTTCGTTTCTTTTACCCGTCTTGGATTTTTTATTTAAATAATATTTGAGGATGGCTTTTAAATATTGTTGGTTTAACCGGATTCTGTGCTCCCATTTTCTTCCCTCTCGATTTGTTGTCTAGTACAACTTCTTTTTAGTCATTTTAAATTGATGGAATCTGCAGCAGTGTCGGTTTAAATGTTTCTGCATAAAAGTATTTCGTGGGGGGAAGGTTGCACCAACTTTTGTGTATTTGTTGTCTTTCAAATAATTATGCAGGTAGTGCCCCAACTGCACTATATTTTAAAAGCATTTTTTGATTATTTTTTTTTTAAAGGTATATCCTGTGAAATGGGAGATTTAAGCTCTCTGAGATACAGGAGCATATTTTTGCATTCCAGCTATGTTGAGTATGAGTCAATTTGACTGTCATGAAAACTTTGCCAGATTACCCACTTAAAGAGGGATACTTCTCCTGGTATCCCTTTTCTTGCTTATTTGGGGACATTTCAACTGAATCATGATTATGCAGAGTGAGAGTCAAGTTTTATGTTAATAGAGATGGGGATATACAAACACAAATATTCTCGAACAGGTGGCGTTGATGATCCAGCCCCATGGGCCAGACAGTCCACTCACTGCGGATGGCGTGATTCTACCACTGGTTCTGCAGCATGCAATTTGCTCTTGTCAGTGCCACCTGTGTGGGGATATTCGTCTATGAATACCCCCATCTCTACACATAAAACATTTGAGTGCCTTAGTTTTAGGAAAATAGTATGCTGCTTCTTTACGTGGGTTCAGTGTTAGTTTTCATCGGTTCTTAGAGTTTGTATTAAAGAAAGAGCATTTTGCTTGCTGGGAGTATTTTGTGAGTCTAATGAAGGTATAAGGCCAGACTGTTGGAATTTTATAGGTTGGAAAGGGGACAAATATATTGTTGATGCTAAATAATATTACAACATACTAAGTCTCTGACGTTTAAAGCAGAGCAGTTTGGCTAAGCATTAGTTTAACCTGCCAGTTTAGTAGGAGAGCCCCTGGCTGCCACATTGGGGCTGGTTGCTCAAGTGCCACGGTGCCTTTCAGAAGGACAAGCTGAGATTAGATGAAAAGTTTGTGGCTGATGTGAGCAGAGTCCCTGCCACTGCAACTTTGGGCAAGCCACCTGGTCCTGTAGTGCCATTCAAAGGGAAGCTGCTAAATTAATTTCTGAGTGGTATATCTAGAAACACTTATGAAAATTAATGTAACTCAGAAACAAGTTGACAGTCCATGATTTTTTTTCATTTTTAGGAGTGTATACACCAAAACAAGTATGGACAGTGTACACTTTTGGCAGTATGGGAGGGAAACCTGAGTTTAAATTGCTGTTTGGAACTGATGTTTCAGCCTAATCTGTGTCATTATTTTGTATAGGCATATAAAAGAGTTCAGATACTAAAGTAATAGAGTGAAAAGAAATTAACCTCATTGTTGGCATCTTTTTGCTACCTCCATAGATTACTTCTGTTTTTGTTTGTCCACAGGCCTGGACTTTGTCCCTGTAGGCCAGAATGCCAGTTGCCAGGAGTTGGGTATGTCGGAAGACATATGTCACCCCCCGCCGACCCTTTGAGAAATCTCGCCTCGACCAGGAGCTCAAACTAATTGGTAAGTTTTCCCAGTTAGAACAGTAGATCTTGGATTAAACAGCTGCATCCCAGGGGCAGGCACGTTTTACATTTCAACCCTTACAATCTCCCTGTTAGGTGAGTATGGGCTACGGAACAAGCGTGAAGTGTGGCGAGTAAAGTTCACTTTGGCCAAGATCCGCAAAGCTGCCCGTGAGCTACTCACCCTGGATGAGAAGGATCAGCGACGTCTCTTTGAGGGTAAGTCTTAATGGCTTTTATATCTGCTGCTATGGCAGCAAGCAATAAAAGTTTTCAAGAGTGTTGGATCATAGGCTCACTTCATAGGTCCTGCCAGTTTTGCAGATGTGTCCTTATCTGTATAACTTTGCATCCTATTTTAATGGCACCATAAAACTTTCTATGACATTATTTTGTAGACCAAAGAGCCAAGTTGGGTCACTTTTAGAAATCCATAGGTGGTCCTGCAAAAAGCATTCCATATTAACTATGCTAATTTTTTTAAAAAGGTTTCTATGAATTTATGTTTTATGTTTCACCTCTAATTAGGTGGGGTTTTTCAAGTTTTCTCTATGTTTATCTCATCTCCCAGGCAATGCCTTATTGCGCCGGCTGGTCAGAATTGGGGTACTGGATGAGGGCAAGATGAAACTGGATTACATCCTGGGTCTGAAGATAGAGGATTTCTTGGAGAGACGTCTCCAGACTCAGGTCTTCAAGCTGGGCCTGGCCAAGTCCATCCACCATGCTCGGGTGCTCATCCGCCAAAGACACATCCGGTAGGCTGCAGGGAGTCAGGACTTATGGAGAGGGTGGAGTCTAGACTAGGTTTAGGAAACGGCACTTGGTGACTTAGAGAAAATGATGCCAAGAGCCAGGAAGAGTTTCTTGGGTTTGCAGGGACAGGATCTATCTCTGAAGTACTGCTTCTGATGTCTTTTATGTATATCCTATTCCAAGATATATGTAGCAGTGCCTCAGCTGTTCTTTTTGCATCACCCGCCCCTTCCCTGGATTGGAACTCTGGATAGCTCAGTAATGTTGCAACCCATCTCATGAGGCAGCGTACCAAATAGAACTCAAAAGATTTCGGCAAGGCTCACTGCGGCTCAGCCGTACACCTTGCGAAGGTCTTGGCCACGTGAGCAGTGGAGGTAACAGCTAGCATTGTGTTCTTAACACAAAATCCTGATGTGATCCCTCTTATTGCTATATGGCCTGTTGCTAATGTGAGGTGTTGATGACTGGTGACGTTAGACTAGGTGAGACAAAGCAACTTGGGTGGGTTCAGAGGCCAGTTCTCCGCTTCTAGGATTTACTGTGGGCCACACTAGCCCCTGGAAGAGTGATTCTTAAAGTCACTTCCAGTTTGAAATTCTTCTGGAATTTTACTTCTAATTGTGAGTGGGGTTAAGAGGCCTACCCTCGTTTGATAGTTAAATTGCCAGTCCTAGAAACTTCCAACAGCATAATGTGAAACACATGTGCCCACACATGTACAGTTCCTTGGTTCCTTCCCCTGGTTCTGCAGAAATGGCATTGGAGTGTTTTTGGCCCATGTAATGCTGTGCCAACTCCATTCTCGGTGGTGCATATTGACAGGTGTCAGCAGAACATGACAAGTTACATTACATCAAGGTGCATTTCTGTTACTTAAAGCTTTCTGCTGCAGTAGTACCATAGTATTCAGTAAAAATATTCTGGCAGAGGTACTTACTACTTTCAATTAACTTGTTTTCACTGTATTGTAGTGTAATCTAGGTGTACAATTTTCCAAATTTTAATGTGCATACAGATTTTCCTAACCTGGTAAATGTCCAGTTTTTGTACTGACTCCCCATTATCGCATCCCCTGAGCTGTGTTGAAAGATGAAGTGTAGGATTTGCAGTCTAAATTCTTCGTAGATAACAACGCTGGTGCTAAACTGTCAATGTTAGGGTCAGGAGAGAGTGATAAGTGTGGTTCATGAGCAGATCACTTAAGTCATCTGTGTGGGCCACTGATCTTTGGGAACACACTGGGTGATTTAACAGAAATCTGATCATACCACTTGGGGGGCAGCTGCAGATAGAGAACAGTAATCTCTAAAGTAGGCATTATTCATGCCTCTGTACTCAATTATTTTTTCTTTTTACTTAAGTGTAAGGAAGCAAGTGGTGAACATCCCTTCCTTCATTGTTCGTCTGGACTCTCAAAAACATATCGATTTCTCCCTCCGTTCGCCATATGGTGGTGGCCGACCAGGTCGTGTCAAGAGGAAGAACGCCAAGAAGGGCCAGGGCGGTGCTGGTGGTGGAGATGATGAAGAGGAAGATTAAGCTGTGGGGTGTGCTCCCTCCCAGCCACGTAGACTGGTGGGGAATGAAGCCTGCTTTGCTGTAACTTTACATTAATAAAATATTTGTGGAGAAATATTGAAGGTCTCTTCAATGTATATTTGGTAACTTGCACTTTCTGGATGGCAAATTGGTTGTGTGTCGTCCTTGGCACTTTACAGGTTGGTATGTGTATCACTGTGCAAAGTATTTTGATAGGGATACACGGAAGGGGCAGAGATTAAGAATGGTGTGTTTGAGAGTGTGGACTAGAAGTGGGTTTCCAGGATATATGTTGCATTTGCACATACACATACATTCCAATCTTTCTGGTAGAAGATCTAACTCCCCCACATATTCTGGTATTTTGGCTTGACTGGCCAAAACAAATACAGTAGAAGAGAAGTGGGTCCCCAGTGTTCTTAAGGGTCAATATTCCTTGGGACCATAACAACACTTGCTCTTGTTTTTCTGTCCAATTCCAGGCAGGACTGTTGCTGGACTTAATGTATGCATGTTTGTGGTTGTATGTGACCTGTTCTCCAGTAAATTCAAAGGGTTTTGTTCAAAAATAGCATAAGGGGGAACAATTAAGAGAAATTGGCAAAGAGAAGTTGGGATAATTCCCAGAGACACATACGAGAACAGATGGCAAATGGAAACGTGTGAATGGCTTTGGGGTCTAGGAGCAGAATATAAGCTCTGCCTTTCTGTTTTTTTGCCCTCATCTCGCAGCATGTTGTGTGTCATTAGCTGTACCAAATGAGTTGACATTTAATTGCTCTTCCGGTTAGATCAGAACAGCTCTTGGGTTGCCTAGCCCTGCAAATAATTGGCTGGGATTCCCAGTAGTTTCCAGGAAGACATCTGGCTTACCAGCAAGAAATCCTGTACCTTTAACCCAAGAATAAGATTGAAATAAGACAACCAGTGGCTGCAGTTGATTTAAGTTCCTTAATGCTGGGGAAGCAAACCACAAGAGCTAACGGAGTGGTTTTAACTCCAGATTATCTGAGAAGTTTTTGTTGCATTTAAAAACAACTTGGTCTTCACACATTTTGGTTTGATAGGTAATTCCTGAAGGGTTTTGTACAGTTTCAAAAGTGGTGTGGCTGATTTTGTATCATAACTGATGGTAAAAAAGGCAGGTGTTTTTTGTTTTTTATTAAAAATTTTAGGCCATTGGAGGATGCAAGGAGACTTGCCGTCAAATGACCTGTTTTTTAGTTCAGTCAATTGTTTCACTTAACAATACCCATTGCAGCAACTCTTGTAATTATAATATTTCATATGCACATTATTATCTTTGGCTATACCCATTGCAGCAACTCTTGTAATTATATTTCATATGCACATTACTATCTTTGGCTCTGAGGCTCAAATACTTTGGCCATCTCATGAGAAGACTCCCTGGAAAAGATGCTGATGTTAGGAAAGTGTGAAGGCAGGAGGAGAAGGGGACGACAGAGGATGAGATGGCTGGACAGTGTCATCAGCATGAATTTGACCCAACTCCAGGAGGCAGTAGAAGACAGGAGGGCCTGGCATGCTCTGGTCCATGGGGTCATGAGTCGGACACGACTGAACAACAATCTGGCTCTACCCTTTCTGTGGTCACAAAGAGTCTGACATGACTAAACGACTGAACAACAGCAATCTTTGGCTCTACCCTTTCTGTGTGAAGTCTGGCCCTTGGGTCTACCAAGATCATCCACCACTGCTGTACAGTGAGGGCATGCAGCTTTCCAGGTGTCCTAATCAACAGCCAGTAGCAAGGTGTGATGGGAACTGCAGAGCAATAACATGGAAGGTCATAGTCCAGGAAGGAGGAAAGCTCAAGTTAGAATATGTTCTAGGAGGCCCCTTAAATTTCCTAGCAGAGGTAGGTCATTTTTTGCTCTGTCCAGAGAGGTTTTTGGAATATCATTGTTTATAAAAACAACCAATGCGAGTCACCAAGGGCAGTGTAAAAGCTGAGGTTGTAGATTCTTTGCCTCCCCACTGCCCATCCATAACTGGTTTCCTATGTCAGCATTCTTAAAAGCCTGTCAAGTTCCAGGAATGACCTCAAGTGAGAACATTGACAGGAAGAGAGCAAAAACAAAAGCCTGAGGTGGCCAGATATGAAATGTGAGTCTCAAAAATAAGGAAGGACGGCTTCTGTATACTGGGCCTTTTGTCATGCCTTAGCAGTGGCATCCCATATGAAGTAACCATAAATACTGCTTTGGTTTTAACCATTTTTTTGTTGCTGGACAGCCGCAGCCATCTGAGAGATTGGGAGGACTTCCATACTAGATTAGTGCGGGTTCCACCTAAGGTCTAGTACATCTTTTCTTTAAAAATTGACTTTTGTAATAGCTTGACATTTATTTGTTGCATGAATTACAAATTGACTCTTTAATATTTTCAGTTTGAGGCAGAATTGGAAATATGCAGCCCGCTAGATGTTGGACTATAAGTTAGTCATTAACTGTGTTCACTGTGATTAATGAGAGTTTCAGTGTCAAGAGAGCCAGAGGCTCTTCACCTCAGCCCCACAGAACTAGAATTCCCAGAGATTCTAGTGCAGACAGAATTTTTGCTCAACAAATTCTTGCTTCCAATGGAAGCAGTTCAAGTTTGTGCAGTGTGTGGCATCCCAGACGTTACTGAACTGTTGTTTTTAGTGTGCTGTCAAGTTGCATCTGACTTAGGGTGACCTTAATAGGGCTTTGGTTTTACTGATGCTAGACATCATCACGCTAAATGATTTCCCATGGCTAAGCAAGGATTTGAATCTCGCTCTCCGGAGTTCTAAGGTGACACTGTTTCCTATATACTACGCTGGCTCTCCATTATCAAGATACAACTACCATAATCCCTCATCATCAGCTACCCTGATGGGAGCTACCGTTCAGCAACATCTGAAGGGACAATGAGGAGAGGGAATTGGGGAAGATTCCTACCATATGCAACACCCAAACATATCCTATTCAACCCTTGAATAGATCACATCTTCCTCTCACCTGCACAGGAGGTCGTGTTTGGCCACTGAGTTGAGATCGGAATGAACTGTGGGCAATTACTTGGGTAAAGAGGTGACTAGCTTCATAGGCCAGTTGCTTTATTCCATGATGATGAGTAACGAGCAAGACATCCCAGCCATACAGAGCGTGCAGCCAGTCCTGTCCATGTACTGTACAAGGAATGTTTGGAAGGAACTGCTCTGCTGTCACTACAAGGCCTTCAAACTATTTCCCCATCCCACTTGCCGGCCGGTTTTAACTGCACAGCGAGTTCAACAATCCCTGGGGTACAGGCAGCCCTTGCAGCTGAGCCTGGGGGTCGCCTCTCCCTTGCACGCTGGCACGCACTGCCCGGCGGCACAGCTCCTGTAAAGTGGGCACTTTGCAGCGGAGTGGGTGGGTGAGGGCCAAAGGCACAGGCAGCTGTCCCTCCCTCTCTAGATAGCAGGGTCCCCCTTCAACAGCCCCCAAGCAGAGGTAGTATTCTACCAGCTGGACCACGCAGCGGAAGGCTGGTGGATGGCCAGCACCCGGCAGGGCCTCCAGGTGAAAAGCGGAGCCCTGTTGCTGGATTCGCAAGTTGGTGATGCCCGTGGTGGTGCGGACGCTGAGGGTGAAGAGGTGGTGGTGGTCAGAGGAGTCTCGCACAAGGAAGACGCCAGGCGGTTGGGAGGTCAAAAGCCGCTTGGCTTCCGCACCTGATAGGCTGCCCCAGTAGAAGCCGCTGGCCTCCAGGCGCTCCAGAGCACTTTCCACCCGCTCAAACTCCCCACAGAAGCTCTTGAAGTGGTAGGAAGGGGTGGCGGTGCTACTCATGGCCACCGCTGCAGCTGACGCAGGCACTGGCGGGCAGCACCAGCAGAGGGGGACCATTGTGTCTCGGGTTGGCAGTGAGAGATCTCGCTCAGTTACTAGAGCAGCATCTAAGGAAAAAAGAAAAGAAAAAGCAAAAACCATTCACACATACTGGTGTAAATAAACTGATTATTTGTACTTGGTGCCTCGGTGCTACTCATGGCCACCGCTGCAGCTGACGCAGGCACTGGCGGGCAGCACCAGCAGAGGGGGACCATTGTGTCTCGGGTTGGCAGTGAGAGATCTCGCTCAGTTACTAGAGCAGCATCTAAGGAAAAAAGAAAAGAAAAAGCAAAAACCATTCACACATACTGGTGTAAATAAACTGATTATCTGTACTTGGTGCTTTTTTGAAGTACAAGCTAAAAGATTGAGGCTTTGCCTCTTAACCCCCCAAGTGTTTGAACTGAGACACAACTGAGCCATCTAACCTATTCCTCTTTCAGTATTTACATTAGCGGAGAGATTGTTTAATTTAAAATACTTCTTGGGGCTTGCTTTAAGTTGGTGAAGTTGGAACGGGACATTTCCTGCAAGATTTTAGGACTATCCCTCTCTGGCGGAGCAGTTTCAGCAAAATTAGCAGCCGATCCCTTTACTGATCAAAATGGAGCACACCCAACTTCTTAAGAGGGCTCTTCCTCCAAAGAGCCTGGCTCTTTGAGTCAGCAAGCTCAAATCTTTCACAGCTTTGGCCAGTGATTGTTCACGGTGATTAGACATCTGGACATTTTGGAAGCCTCTTCCACTGCAGCCAATTGTCAGGGATTCTGGAAGTATAAAACATGGATGAGGACCAAAGGCTCACAACCCCTGATCAAGGAAGGTTCAGTGAAAAGGACATCCATCAGAACAAAGGGAAAATTGAGTCACCATAGATCAAAGGACAAAGAAGATTGCGCCACAAGATTCTCCTGTTCAAGTCCTGGGTCGTCCTTCGTCTACCTTTGAGACTTTAGCACTAACTGAGCATTTCCAGGTTCGTATCTGCAGCAGTGAGCGCTAGAATCATAGAATAATTGAGGAGATCTATAAGGCCATCGAGTCCAGCCCACTGTTCAGTGCTGGAATCCAAGTCAAAATAGTTCTGACAGATAGTTGTCCACTTTTATTTTGAATGCCCCCAGTGTTGGATAGCTTACCACCTCCTGAGGTAAATGGTTCCATTGTCTCTAACAGTTAGTTTTTCCCCTGATAATCAGCCGAAATCGGGGTTCCTTTAACTTGAGCCCATATTTGTCCTGCACTCTGGGATGATGAAGAATAGATCCTGTCCTTCCTTTGTTTGAATACTTTTTAAGTACTAAGTGCTCTCGTATCTCCCCTCAGTCTTCTTTTCTCAAGGCTAAACAGTCTCTTTTTTTCCACAGAGCTAGGTTTCCAGTCTCCTGATCATCCTTGTTGCCCTCCTCTGAACTTGTTCCAGTTTGTCTGCATCCTTCTTAAAGTGCAGTGTCTAGAACTGGACACAGTACAGTAGGACCACAGTATCTGCATGGGATGGGTTCCAAGCCACCCCACCCACCCCCACGGATGCTGGAAATTGGAGATAAGCAAACCCTTTGATATTTTCAGGCACTGAATAAGTGAAACCATGGGTAATGATCCTGCAGATACAACAGTCCGATTATACTCAAGATGAGCCTAACTAGTGCTGAAGAGAGGGAAAGTAGTACTTCACGAGATATGGAGACTAATTATTTCTGCTAATGCTGCCTAAAATAGCATTTGCCATTTTTGCAGCCACCTCACACTGTTGGCTCATTTTCAGCTTGTGATCTACACCAACTGCGACAAGAGGTTTGATGTTTGCACAACCACCATTACAAAAAGTATATGAAACTCTTCTGGTAAATTTAAGAGTTGAAGCAGGCAACTGGACTTTTTAAATGAACAGACATAATAAGAGATGGCGAGTTTCCCACCATATCTCAGTGTAGGTGAATATAGGCAAAATGGTGTGGTCTGAGATGCTAGGAAGGATCGTTATCCTGCCAAACCCTGATGCCTAGTGGTGGGGTGGTAAACTCTGAGATACAGCTGTTTATCATTATAGTTCTTGTAGCCATGCTGAATTGCATTGCTCCATGTGTATCACTCTGCACATGAGATAGCTGTGCTTCATGGGCAGACCTTTCTCTAAAACAGCAATATCTAATGTAATACTCAGTTGATTAGGATGAGCTATCAGTCCGGATGTAGTAATACATCTTTGGAAGCAGCCATCTCAGATAGTGTGGGAAAGGGAAAGAGCAGAGGATGACCAGCACAAGATATTCCAGGAATTTCTTTTCTTAACACCAAAGAAGATCTCTTTATCTTAAAAACAACAAAACATTGCAAAAACATTATCTTCTCTGCGAGGAACAGGTTCTTTATAAAGCTAATGGGTCTTAATGGGGGCTGCATATTGAGGGGGCCAGCAAAGCAGCGGATGATGCCCAGATACCCAGGCCAAGGTATACTGCACCCATGGCCGGCCAGGTTATTTTGGCGCAAGATAAAGACAAACCAAAACTCCTTTGCAATAATGCACAAATAATAATAAAGTCACGATTTGCTGTCCCTCTATAACATCAGAAATCTGTCTGAAGCCATTGCCTTACGTGCTGTTGTACCCCAGTTTGTGCTAACGTCTTTGCACAAGTTTGCCAGTGTGATTTACATTAACTGCATTGTGTCAACAGGGATAAACAACAGGATTTTGGCCTATGTAGAGAAATCAAAAGCTTGTCTGTATCACCCTTTAAAAAACAAACAAATAAAAGAGGTCTGGCACAAAAGTGCAGTTTGGAATCATTCTTACAAAATTCTTTATATGGAGAACATTACTCCAGAAATCAAACTCTAGGGAATAAGTTGGGGATAGAGTAAGATAGAGATTCAGCACAATTCTATTGTTCAAATGCATTGTGTCAGATACAGCAAGATTCCAGTAGCCCATTCACAAATTCCCTTCTAAAAAAGGCATGTGAGCTTCTGCGCCTGCCCTCCCCATAGTAATCCTCCAGGGAAACAGATTCCCTGTAGTAACCCTCCTGCTTATCCTGTTTATCCGGGAAAGGCTTGAAAAGGATAATGAACAATTCCATGAACTCTCAGGATTGCCAGCCAGCATGTCATGACAAAATGGCTTCCGTTGCTGCAAGAAAAACTTGGTGGATTCTTAAGCTTTGGATCCTCTTTGGGAAACCCTTGGCGCATTGGCTGGATGTGGTCCTCAGAGACTTCTCACCTGGCCCATTGGCTTCCTCCCTCCCTCCCCATAAAAGCTTTCCCTGGATCTCAGCCGTTTTAATGTGACCCAAAAAGAACACTGTTGGGATGAGAGGAGATCAAGTAGGGATGGATTCCACTGCCCTCTTAGTTGAGGAAAAGAGCAACGGTGGATTACAGTCAGGGCTCACAGGATCAGAGCACCAAGACTCCCTTGTTAGCAGGGACTATGACATCAGCCATTATCAAGCATTTCTGCTCCATTTCAGTTTAGCAGTCTTAAATGTTTCCCCAGGAGCGATGTGTTACTGCAGGCTGTAAAGCGAAGCATTTGAGAATGGTTTGTTCTTGCATGGGCAATTAAGAACCATTAGCTTTACAAAAGTCCTGCTCCTTGTTGATGGATATTAATCCACCCAGCTGCCTGTATTTTGGATTCTCTTCCAGTTGCTTTCATTACTTCTGAAACATGCCTTTGCCATACTCATTAGCTGTTATGTTTTGTATTAATTCATTACAAGGTTCAGCTGGAGCTGGAGCATGGCTTTTAAAACCAGAAGCAGGTGTGGCATTGAGAACGGTAATGGGAGTAGTGCAGCAAACAAAAAGAAAATTCCACACTCAATGCCAGGGCAAGAGAAGGTTTCCTGAAGAGAACGGGGTGAAAGTATCAAACTGATTTCAAGTTGGACACTGAGGTGCCTGGTTAGGGAGGCTATACCACGTTGGTTGTCCTCCTGCTGAGTGAGTCTACCGCAACGGCTGAACAGGATTGGTATGGATGGAAAATGCTAAGACTTGCAATTGGATGGGCTGGGTCAAAGTTAGTGCAGACCCTGTTGAAATCAATGGGACAAAATATTGTGGTCGGAGCAATTTTATCACCTGGGTACTGTTTCTCACTGGTTCCTCTTCAAGGTGTGAGCCTCGTTCCAAAAAAGAAAGGAGGGGGAGAATATGGCA